GCCTCTTCCGCGTTTGCCTTCTCCGCCACGGTCTCCACGGGGGCCCACATTGGGGTTGTTGGACCAATGCGTATTGAGACGTGCCACGGATTGAGAACTAAACATGTGAATAAGTAGAGATCTAGGTAAAGAAAGAGTAAACATACAAATCAACCCATATGCGCCGGTCATCCACCAAGACGTTTTGCATTTTGAAGTAAGCCTAGGTGATTCATCAGAAGCTGGCAGCTACTACCGAACGAGGGAACACCCACCTGCTCCGCATCTTCCCGTTTGTCGAATTCGATGAATGCATATTGCAACGATTCCCCTGTCTTTTTATCACGTATAACCTGGCAGCTCATGATCGTTCCGAACCGCGAGAAAATCAGCTCAAGGTCCTCGTCGCGCGTGACCGGGTTCAGCTTGCAAACAAACAGCACGTTCTCCGGCGGGCGTACGTTTGCGAATGGCAGGTCCCCGACCATTTCGAGAGTCAACGCAGAAGCGCGAGCTGCTTGTTCGCGCCGCTGCTTCTCGGCTTCCTCCTCGGGGAGAGTCGCCAGGGGGTCTTCATCTTCCGCAATGCGCGTTGAGTTGTCTGGTGGCCGTGTGGGGGACGCGTCCGGGCGGACAAGACCTGGAGGGTCGGGAAATGGGTCCTCTTAGGCGTAGATGTGAGATTCGCATGACAATCAATGAATATATGCGTATTACCTAGAATGATTACGTGCCTTATCCTGACATCCTTTAGTGGCCGTCCATCTTGGTCCACGAAGACCTCGTTCAGCTTGTCAAGGGTATCCAGTCCTTCAACGATGTGTCCGAATACAGCATGCTTGCCATCAAGATAATCGATCCCGTCGGCAAGAGTCAGAAAGAACTGGCTGCCGCAGCCACCCTTGAGGCCTTCAACAGACGGCGCTACAGCCATAGACACAGTGCCTCGCTCAGTATGCTTGAGGCGCGGCACGACCTCTGGTGTAAAATATCGCGGCGCCGATCGTCCTTGTTGAGTGGCAATGTACGACCATATGCACTCTCCTCCAGTACCTGTTGCTGTCGGGTCTCCCGCTTGGGCTAGGAAGTCCTTGGAGACTGCGGGTTGCGAGATTAAAGACATAGACATCAATGACTGAACGACATACCATTAAAGAAGCAGTTGAGATTGTAGTAGTAGACTTTGCATAGTTTGAGGAAATTCTCGCAAGTCTTTGGACATGCTTCGACTTCTAGGTCGATGACGATGTCGCCAAAGGACGTCTCCAGTAAAACTGACATACACTCAGCTTCAAGCTTCACCAGTAGCCCTCAAAATGACTTGGACTCTGCTTCGGTCGGGACTATATTGCTGAAAGATTTTGGTAGCGATTGAGTTCAGAGTGCGGCGGAATGCAAAGATGCTGGCGACTTTGCGCCTGAGACGCGAAACGCCAACTTCCTGGCCCTGTGAAGCCCGTTGCTCGCCTACTCGGATTCACTGAGGAGACGTCGCTCGCAAGTCTACTTCCTGAAACAATGCTGTCACCATTATTGCATTCTTAGAACACGACGGCGACGTTCAGAATCACTCATTCGCCGTGTGTTCAGACCGTTCATGGACACATTACGGCGTCGAGCGATAAAGTCGCAATAATAAAGCGGAGACCACCCTGACCACTACTATCGACATTGGCAAAAATGAACGTATATGACGATGGCTCGTGGGTGCGACAGTGGGATGAGGCCGTTGCACAGGGCAGGTTCAGCAATCGCAGGTTGGATAGGTGGGTGTCACTCTACGTCCTTCGTACATCGGTGCTCATTGTGATCTCCATCAGTAATTTCTCAAAACTTGAGATGATCGAGAGACTATATAGTGCCGACAAGGCTTTTGCACGGGATTGCGTATGGCCTCCATTACCTCGGGCACCACAGCTGACGGACTATGAAGACTCACTTTATGAGCTGTATTGTCAGGTAAGCAGATGGTCTTATGATCTTGACGTGCTGTGACAACTGCACCAAGTTTCGATACCACATTGGTATCCTCACATTCAAGCCCGATGCGCGACGGTACTTAGAAAATCCTGACAGCGTTAGGTACCCTAAACCCAATCCGTGGCGCAGACCTTTGTATCAAGATGAATATCTCCTGAACTTTATCTCCAAGCCTTATACAACGATACGGCTTTTTCTGACGTTGTGTTTCTACGATAGTGTAAACGGTTGGCACTTGAAAGCTGCCTGGTGCCGCTACGCTCCACAACTCATCAGTTTTTATGTGGATTTTCTACTGCGAGTCAGATTTTATGATGACGAGGAAGATATACAACAACTGATCTCGGTGCGGGGCTTACTGGAGCAGGTGGCGTCAATTCTCCATTTGTACACTTTGCGTACTGACAGCTCTTCCGTGATCTCTCCCACCAGGCCAAGATAGAACTGCCCCGAACGCTGACCATCGCTCGCGTTCTACCATGTCCAGTTGCAAATGGTCTTGCGATACTCTGGCCAAACCCCAAGCGCTCCATTCTGTACTTCCTTGCTGAGCTGACTTCCCAAGGCTCGGAGACCCTGGACTGGGCGGAGCAGCACTTCGGCGGCCTGGAGTCTTGGAACACAGATCTTGGTGCAATTCCTCTTGTTTCTCTCCTTGGTCCGACTGCGTTACCTCTCACGCATACAATCAGCCTTGCGGAGACCAGCACACGCCGGATAGCTTGTATACTGCGGCCAGGTTCTCCTGTTCCACAGCAGAGTCATCCCGTCGAGGAAGAGCTTGTACGCCATCTCGGTCGGGTTATCCTCAAACCTTGGGGTCGTCCGCGTGACAGGCGGTCATGCCTCCTGGAACCTAGCGTGGAGGATCGTAATGTCCAGGGCGGTTCGGCAAGGTATCATGACCCGAATATCGACAACATCACGGTCCTCATGGAGGCATCTGTCCTCGATTCTCTGATCGTAGGCATGGGCATCTCCGGGACTTTTGTGCAGATCATGCCCCATGGAAGGAGTGAGGATAAGGAAGGTCGCTACTGGTTTGTTGAGAACATCCAGGATATTTTACCCAGTTTCTACATCGACGTGCCGCCTCCTCGTTCGGAACCTTCGTCTCCCGAGTCTCTCCTGGGGCTTTAGCATGTCATAAATTCATCCGTTGCAGTTATTTTTCCCATCTTTCCTCATATATGCAAAAGCTTGGTTGTATTTGCTTTCATATGATTATCGTATAGTGTCCTGTCGCTGTCGGATTTTACTTTCATTTGCTCTCATTTCTCTGAGCCCCTGTAGGATTTACCGCTGTATACAGATAGTGTAGCTGATCCCAAGAATATCACAATCTGGATAGCGTTGTTGTAGATGTTCGACAGCCAAATATCGGCGATTAACTATTACACCGCAACGCTAGGTTCAATCTCGCCCAATAACATTGTTGCGTCCTTACTACCAGTCAAAACTGGCAGTGCCAAGTCAGCCACATCCTAAAACCGACATTGTTGAATTATACATACTGATGGGCTCTTTTGGATGGAAGTCTACAGCAGTCACTGTGCCCTTATGTCCAGGGAGCTATAACGACAACCCAGTGAACGATATTACACCACGTTTAAGGGCTTCACCCACCTTGTACTGCAACTTCCCGCTTTCGACATCCCAGATACACACCATCCTGTCCGCACCGCCGACAGCCACCCGCCTCCCTCCATCGTCACGACTCCATGCACCCTTAAGCAGGGTATTTTCGAACCCAGCAGGAGCACCCGTCAGGATGCGGTGTATGCGCGTCGGCGAGGGCGAAAACGGACGGACGTCATGAATGATGACTTGTGAGGAGAATGAGGGAGAGAGGAGGTACGAGCCGTTCGGAGACAGTGAGAGAGAGGAAGGGGTATCGGTGTGTCCTACAAGTGTGGACACTTGGGCTTGTTTTCGGAAGTCGTAAACCTACCAGAATCACGCATATATAAGGTGCCGTGATATTCGACCGACAGCAATACTCACGTGAATCTCATTGTCCAGGGCGCCAATATACACACTCGATCCATCTGCGCTCCAACACACCGCTGTGACCGGGCACCCGATCTCAAAGGTCGCAATACAGTCCTTCCTCCCTTCATCTCCACCCTCCCATATCCTCACCGTCCCGTCGTCCGAGCCCGTCGCGATCAGCTCCACGCCCGCACCGCCGGCGACAGTCCTGTCGAGTGTATTAATAATTCCGCGGTGGGCACGTACTTTCCTCACACGCTCGCCCGTCGTCACGTCGGTCATGAGGAGTGTGTAGTCCGCTGAAACGGTGTAGATGAGGGGATGGAGGAGGGACCATTGGAAGTCGAGTATGGGGGCCTTGTGGATGCTTTGCAACAAGCCATAGTTCACATTTGGCGGATACGTTTTCCAAAAAGCTGCATGACATGGGTGGGGTCGGAGGGGGGAAGAAAAGAATACGGCTCTAAGGACGCACATAGACTACGATCCGCAGAACAAGCAGCGATATTTTGCCCGCTCGGATCGAACCTACAGCTCAATATCTCTGCCTGCGAACGACCATTTAGCCTACTATTAAAGTCTATCCCCCTCCAGCGTCGTGTTCATACCTAACAGGAAGTACGTACCGAGTGTGCGCCTGACAAACTAACAATGGGGGCCTCGAGATTACTCGTACGCTTGATGCTTCTGACTATGCCGCGCTCATGGTTCGAGGAAGAAATTATCAGCTGTTGCGTCTGCCCCTCTGGAGAATTAGAACGGGCACGCTTGATAAGAGCACCCGATGAGGATGGTGAAGGGGGACGCTTAGCCATAGCTAACTTCCAAGCCACACTTCCTTGAGCACTGGTATTTTGCCACATTAATCTGTCTTATTCTCACGCACAGGTCAATCGGTAATATTTTGTTCTCCATCTGATTACAATACCTCACCCTCCGTCAAATATTTGCAAAAACAAGTGTAATCCACAGAACCCAGATTCAAGGACCTTGATAACGCCGATAGCCCAACTACCAACCAGCAACAAAAACAACACAATTCGCTGTAGTGACCGCGGCAGGGGTCGAACCTGCAATCTCCTGATTATCAACAATCGTAGTCAGACGCGTTGCCATTACGCCACGCGGCCTTGACGGAAGGCAGTTTTGTAATTTATTATAGATTGATTAACTGAGACTCTACTAGAGAACGCACGTGGGTTGTATGGCTACCCTTAAACATACACCATAGTCCTCGTAGTTGGAGGCCAGCCGCCCCGCTTGGCTTCTGACATCTTGCTAATGTACTGACTGCTCTGGGCTAGTTATGAGTGAGGAAGAGCAAGTCACTATCGTCCCTTTAGCGCCAGTGAAGCGCAAGCTTACAGAAGACGAGGACAGACGTCCGAATACAAGGAAGCGGACTCGCAGTCTTTTCATCTCTATTCCCGCAGATAATGCCGTCCAAAAGGTTCTAATCAACCCATCTCCGACCCCTTCCATTTTCGCTGATCTGCCCCCACTCGACATCGAGCAAGACAGTGACACTGACTCCCTCTTCGACTCCCCCGACTCCGAAGCCACCACCGCTTTCTCGAACTCGACTTCCAACTCTAGCACCGTCACAGCTGGTGTAGTCACACAAACAGAACCTGCATCCCTCAAGGCGCCCCCGATCCCGGGACTCACCTTCGACCCGACCCTCCTCCTCCCCCAACCGCTCATCGACTACGTCTTCGCCCAATGCATATCCACGTACTTCACCAAGCCGCTCACAAACCAGGTGATGCTATTTTGTCGCCCAGACTCCTCCACGCTGCCCCTCTTCCTCGCTGATCTGCTCTCCGCTGTGTCTGATCTCCTGCAGCCTAAGCTGTCAAGGGAGACACACGATCTGTTGTTTGCGAGTCGAGGCAGGGCACGGCAGGCGATCGTTAACCTGTACGAACCAGGTGACGGGATTAGCCCGCATGTCGACTTGCTCGACCGGTTTGGAGACGGGATTGTCGGGGTTAGCATGGGGAGCGGATGTGTCATGGAATTCAAAAAAGGAGAGAAGAGGCATGGGATGTATCTTCCACCCAGGAGCACAATCATCATTTGCGGTGAGGCGAGGTACGAGTGGACGCACGGGATCGAGAAGAAGGTGGAGGATGCAGTTGCGAGGGACGATGGGCGGACAGAGGTGGTGAAGAGGGGAACGAGGATGAGTATAACGTTTAGGTGGCTGTTGCCTGGGGCGGATGTTGTTGGGGGAAGGACAGGTGACAAGGAAGAGTAGCCGTGGATCTAGGTTGGGATTTAGAAGGGGTGTAGATTAGATTTAATGGCGCTATGTAGATCAAGGGACTATCTGTAGAATAATTAATTAGTCCACCTTTACTACGGATATACAAAGGATGACTCACCAACATTGCATTTACCACTTTTGCGCTGCAAATGAAGTGGGCACGTGAAGGAGAGCTTACCAGAAAATATGCCAAGCTACTTAACGAAAGCACCATGAACCGACCGAATAATGAAAGAAATGTTATAGTCGACAACATCTAATAACGTACGAGAGCAAAAGCTGATACATCCTGTACATCGCAATTCAAATGCATCCCCATTATTCCGCCACACAAGCTGACTGATATTGATCAATCTATTGACCTCCACGGAGGGCCAGGACCAAGTGCAAGACGGATCCGGCTGTAATGTTGAAGTCGCGTGCTGTCTTGTCATCCGGCCTGTAGAAGTGGCACCGACACTTAAGATGTAACTACGTAACATGGGATGGAAATGGCTACTTACATTTGACGACCACCAAAGATCAGTCGCTGCTGGGGCGGGGGCACGCCAGATTGTTCCTCGACTTTCTCCTTGATGCGGGTGATCTGGAGGTGATGTGTTTTCGATAGATCGCGCTAATGAATCAAGTAAGAGCACTCACCGGATCATCAGGATCGATGTCGAGCTCGATCTGTTTTTGCCACAAAAAGGAGAACGAACGCAGGTAAGGTATCATCCAACCATTTCAACAAGAACGGAGTGATTGCGCACCTCCTTGCCCGTCAATGTCTACCGTATAGGCGTTAACACGCGCAATATGGGAGTAGGAAGGTAATGAGACTTACCTTGACTTTGATTAGCATGGTGGCCGAGTGAGTGGCGATTGGTGTAGGAGGAGCTGTTATAAATGTCGGTGGCGGTACCCGAGCCCGGAAAAGGCAACCTTGGTATGAACGTGAACGAGAGATCATCTACGCGAAGTGATTCATATAAGAGCTCCGAGTATTAAACGATTTCCATGAAAAAGTACAGTGTGTTCATGTCATAATATTGGCACGTGAGGTAGCACAGTAAATGGTGGATTCTATGTCATGATCTCAGAAAACTTGACACTAGGCTACTATATGAACAATTTGACAAGTTTGCGGTATGTTAAGATCTCAATTACCTAGTGTTTTCTGTCCGGCTTCTCACCACTTCTTCCGAGCAATCAGTCGATGTTGTAACACGTATTCGTCCGCAGTAGGGAATGCCAGGCTCTGTACTGGTAGAGGACATGATAGTCTATATAATTATGAGCTCTGACAGCACAGAATCATCATGCACCATTCTACGAGTTGATCATCAGAGCTCGCTGCAGATGAATATTGAAATCCAAACAACTGGCCCTGTTGCTTCACATACAGTCATATATTTCTTAGCGACTAAGGGAACGAAATGACAAGCGGATTATGTATCTATCGCTCTTTACATATCTCATGCTCACCAGTACGGACCGGAACATTGTCTCCGTCTGTTACCTCTCTCTCGCCCTCCGTGTATCGCATGACACATCACTTCCTGTCCTCGGATTTTCTCGTTATAGGATCGCAGAAAAGTCAACAGGTCCGGGGCGCTCCTCGGGCAGCGGGCAGTCTGTTCCGCGATAACCTGTCGACATTGACCTAATGCATATATGGCTTTCTTCGTCACGGTCGAGCTATTCCCGTACCATGGTCGCTCGAAGGGATTGACGATTCTCCAATGGTGGAGTCGAGTGGCAACCTTCTTCAACCAATTCGTGAACCTCATAGTATCGCGAATGCAGATATGTCGACTAGGCAACCTATGTGATTCGGGTGGCTCATCCTCAGCCTTACTGGGTGGAAATATTATGTATGGCTGACTTGACCTCCATGGTTTGATGATGTCTGATGTATATTCGTGCAGTTACTGCGTCTGGCGTATACTTCCTCTTCCCCGAAATTGCAACCAGCTCTCTTGAAGGATTGGCATTCTGTACGTCTACTCGTTCTTCGGTTGATGAACTTTTGCATGCCTGTCTATAAGATAACGTCAACTGCAAGTGCCGCATGGCCGTGTATGACTACTGTCTCGGACCACCCTATTGGGACAGTTGTGACTGGTTAACGCGAGCGGCGAGGAGAAATGAGGGATCGCCTGCACAATCACTAATTTTGCGACTGGCGAAAACTTTGAAGTAAAATAAAGCGCACCTGGTACAAGTCGGAGTGAAGCTGAACGAACGATACCGCAATGAGCGAGTCACCACGAGTACTTGGCATGGTATGTTCATCAGTGCATTGTGCACCAAAGAAGGATTATCGGTGGTCCACTGCACAAAGGCACGGTCCGCGCGGTCCAGGAGAAGGATCACTTTGGCCCTAGTAGCGCCTATAAACCCGGCCCCTGCCGAGAACACACCTTTATCAGCGCCCATCACCCACCTTTAATTCCAAACCCCCTTTCTTCCCTACCACGTACCACAGTCACAACCCTTCACTGTACGCGTCTTGCATCATGTCCACAACTCTCAACACTTCGTTCATCTATACCGGTGGCACTCGGATAACTCGGCCGCTGCCTCCGTTGCCCTCCATCACATTTATCGATGTCGGTGCCACCGACGGCACACGACCGACTCCGGCCAACAAAGACTTCGACGCGTTGTACGGGACGAAGATCACTCCCGAGCGATTAGTTCAACCTTTGAATGATGTAAACTCGTGTTTCTACGCGTCGAAGGTCCATCGATCTGACAAAATTTGGTTATTAGCTTCCGCCATTGCGCGAAGAGAAGATAATAACCAACGGGTGGGGATTGTCTACTCGACCGGCTATCCAACAACCGAAGCCGGTCCGCTGGGACACCCGACCTAAATGGCTCGACGACTACGGCTGCACACATGTGCAGGCCACGTTGCCACGCGTCGGGGAGACCGTCGGGGAGATCGTCGAGCTGCCGGCCTTCGAGTGTGCCGCGTCCGTTTTGGATGAGGCGCTGGACCAGATGGAAGGTGAAAGGATGTTGGCTGAGGTGAACTCATTGCCAATGAGTGAGCCCTGCCGACGTCCATCCGCTTTCAGATTCAATCCCTTCGGCGACGTCGACGACGTCGACGCGTTCGGTCCGCCTCTCACCGTTGCCGACAGCAACGGTTCCATCGCCAACGCTGAAGACAATGACGATGAGCCGAGCCCTGTCACCCCTCCCTGGGCGTGCATCGACCCAACCGTGAGCACCGCGAGGTCCGACCGCAACCGCTCCGTGTTGCTCACGTCAGGCGCCGACATCGTCCCCACCACCACCAATATCCAGCGTCCTCGCGATGCGAAGACGACCAAGAACAGTATCGTGAAGCATGCAAAGGAGCTCGCCGTGCCGCTTATTGCATACTTGCGCGAGAGGACACGCAAACGGGAGATCAGGCGCGCGAAGACCCTCGCCTTGAGCATCAACGGCGCTAGCCGCACGGAGGTTGGATACTCCTTGAACACTGGAGTTCGATTGTGAGACGGATGGGCTCTGTGAGCGGATGTGACGACATGGAGTTCAATGGGTGTTGTAAACACTTCAGTTCGATCGTTGTTCTGGCTGTGTACAAGTGTTCGCCTGGTTCCATTTCCTTTATCTTGTACGAGTAGGCTGGAGGCTCCAGGACAACGAGTGAAAGGATTTTGCCTTGCTTTGGGTTTTTCGATATTGTGGCTGTTTGTATCTTGTGTTTGTATCGCAATAACTAATGTTGCGACTGGCGAGAACCTTGGAAAGTAAAACATTCGCACAGAGAGAGGGTGCAGCTGATACAAGTGAGTCTATACCACGAATACTTGGCGTGGTGTGTCCATCAGTGCATTGCGCACTAAAGAAGCTCAGAGG